TCCAATCCCCCGCTAAAACTACCCGACGAGACGTCGTCAAGTACGTCGCGATCTGCCGAAACAACGCAGGCCGCTCGGCATGGATATTGGGCGCATAAACCCCGATGAGACGTAGAGCCTTATCCTTTATGGTAACATCCAGCACGCAAAGCCTGCCCGCCGGATCCGCGAAGACAAGGGTACATGCAGCCTTCAAAGGCTTGCTCACCAGCCAAGAGACACCCCTCGAACGACCATCAAAACATGCTGAATAAAGGGCGAACCCCTTAGACAGTATGTCCTCACGATCATGAGAAGAAAACCGGGTCTCTTGCACACAACACACATCCACCCCGAGGCGCTGAAGGTCACGAGAGAACCTCGCCCTGCGAGACTCGGACCTCAGGCTCCGGACATTTACACTAGCTAACCAGAGAGCCATAGTGAAGCCTGATTAGGGTTGAACTACTGGTTTGAACATGGACGGGGTAAGGATACCGACCGCCTCTCCCATAGACCCGTGGCCCATCTCAGTCTTGATGGTGCCGTCTTGGGAGATACCGCCGATATCCCAGGGGAAGGTCAGTTTAAGTGCTCTATATAGGAGGGGTGAACTAAAACGGGGACCCTCCCTGCACAGAATTGTTTTTAATTTTTAAGCTGTTCATTTTGGGTGATTGCGATTGGCAATGTCATTTTACAAGAATTGATGGCCTCCTCAAGCATAGCCCAAATCGGTTTAGCTCCGGTTCCCGTTCTGATCACCGTGAGAACTCTTTGGGCCAGCGGAAAAATTTGGAGGCACTTCAATGTCCTGGTCCGCAAATTGCCTTATTGATAGCAAATACTTCAAGTCTTTAATGCGGTTTCCGTAGTCCCTGGCTCTCTCGGCTTGGGCAGGAGAAATACGACAGACATTTTCTCCTGTATTATAAATAGGCAATTGTGTCTTCTTTTTTTTTTCTTTTTCTTTTCCTTCTTGTGAGGGGCTTCTCTGTCGCTTGGAAGCAGGGGGTGGCATTTTAAGCGGGGAATGACTAGGAGTATGTAGAGGTGTGCTAGCGGGGTTTTGTTTAACAGGGGAAGGGGTAGGTGTGTTAAGGGGTGTGTAGAAGGATCTGTGTCTGTAAGGGCTAGGATCTCGACTGAGGGGACGCGAATTGGATGGAGTTATCTGGGGAGAGGGTCGTTTCTTAAGAGAGGGGATGGACTGGCTGGAAGACGCGGAAGGAGTTGAATTTTGGGATTGCTGATTATCTAATTTCTTTTTTAGCTCCTTAATTTTTTCGGTTTTCAGAAATCCTGGGTCATACATTTTTGCTTGTCCTTGAAAGACATTTCGGAGGCCGGAGTATCGCCCTTAATGTTGCCAGAGGGAGTGGGGCTGTTAGTGCCTTTCGTCCTTGGGGCTTCAGGGGACTGAGGACCCGCTGTCTGGCGCTTCCCTCTGGCCTTACCAGCAACTAGCCATTCCCCTTCTCCCTTCTCCACAGCTGCACTAGCAGTGGGCGAAGGCTCTTTGGAGAATGTGGTCTTTTGACCAACCGGAGGATTTTCCTACCGGTCCCAGAAGCTGGCATGCCCATTACAGGCGAGGCGGTAGGTAAAGACTCGGTCAGAGGGGATTATGGTCAACAGGAGATTGAATTCAGAGGCCTTCTTCTCTGGGCAGGAAGAGGAAAGGTGACCAGTCTTTGCACACTTCCAGCATACCGGTTTCCGGCCGGTCACAATGACCGGCAATTTCAATTTCCCTACTACCAGACAGTTGGGGATGGAGAAGAAGGCTTTTGATCTAAACGAATGTCGAAACTCCACCCCCCGGCTCAGGCTATCGCAAGATGCGGTCAGTATTTCACCGAATTGAGACAGGTAGGCCGCGAGATGTTCCCCGAGAACCTGAGGAGGGACCTCGTATATTGAAACCCTGGTCCTTCTTTGGCCTAAGTACTCGGTCCGCAGGATCAGATCTTTTGTGATCAAGTCCCTGCTCGACGCTGCCACGCAATCTTCCGGCGTGGGTAACAATACGTCCCACATGAGAAAGCCAGCTCCTTTCACAACTCTGAGGGGCTTGAACCCCAAGGACTCCAGTGATTTTATCACTGTGTCTTTTGTCGAGCGACAAATTCTGCGCGTACGCTTGTCCACGACAAAAACTGACACTATTCGTGTTTCAATTTTTCTTAGTTCCTGGGCGTCTTCTAAGAGTCCACCTTCTATGACAAGGTGAGTGTAGCTCTTAGCTCGCTCCAAGAAATCCGCTACATTGATAATACAACTCGGGGGGGACTTCCAACAAGAGGGCAATTCCCCGGCCTCAGTCTTCTCTTGAGAGCCATTCTTGGCTTTCGAGTCAATTTGGGTTTTTTGGCTACTATTGGCCTCCGTACTTTTTTGACTTTTTTCATTTTTCTTATCGCCATTGCAGGCCTCCATACTTGAAGAAAGTGAATCTTTTTCACCAGCGATGTCATCCTCGCTAGGGGAAATTTGATCTAGGCCTGGGTATTCATTGATGTTGTCTTTATCTGGAGGGTCTTTCTTTGGGGGGTTAAATAAGTGTCTTCTTATAGACTTTCTGTAGTCTGCTAAGTTGTGTTTCTTTTTTATGACTAAAAAGGAAGGAGCTTTTTTTTCCTTCTTTTCCATATTTTTGTATTAACAGGGAAGGGGAGGGAGAAAAGGGGAAAAAAAAAAAAAAAACACAAATCTCACCCGGAAGTGAGACAAACAATCAAAAATAAAAAACACGTAAAATATTATACAAAAAAGGTTCGCCTAACGAAACAATAAAAAAGAAAAAGAAAAACGAGAAAAAACGCTTAGACTAAAAGGAAAAACAAAGAAAATTAGTCAAATATACAATACAAAATGGCAAAGAAAAAACACGAAAAACTTAAAAGGTATTAAAAAGGAAAGAAAAAAGAATTATTAACGGTACGTCAACGCAACAACGAAGCACAGACAGGGGTTACAGAACAAAACAAAAAAAACCGGAGATATAATTAAAGGAGAAATAAGAGAAAATGAAAAAGACAGAAAGGAAATTTAAAATAAAACGAATAAACAAAAGTTAACGTAGATAATTTTTTTTTTTTTTTTTTTTTTTTTTTAAAAAGAGGAGGGTAAAAAAAGGAAAAGAATAAAAATCAAAATCTTTTCAAAAAAATTCGTAAGAACACAAATCAAATAAAATAATAAAAGACAAACTTAACAAAAAAACGTTCAACAAGCAATCAATATGAGGAACAAACGGGAGTCAGAAAACAGTCCAACAAAGGTCGTCGTAAATTCTCACTGACAGGGTCCGCTCGTACCTTCAACTTATATGTTCCTTCAACCACGTGACAGGCTCCGAAGGCATTGTTTTTTCGTCAGGTCAAAAACTAGGTTGACGTTGTTCGGACGTAGTGGTGAGCAGGTAAATTGTTTTTTTAACATCTGTTAACCACTCAGAAAGCGCCTTACAAAACTCAGTCTGGAGCCTGATATGTTTTGTCTCGCTTATTGAGAACAATACACGTAAAGATAAATTTAATATTTATTATCCAATGAGAAGTTTAGGTTTTCAGAAACATTCATGAAGATGTGATCCGCTCTTTGCACGAAAATCGACATTTGTGAAAAAGTGGTAGCGGACAGCTAAAAATGTAATTACTTTTTTGCCAAATGAATTCTGGCAAAGTAGCAATAAACTAATATTATGGCCCTGCATAATTGGAAACAAGAGAAAAATTTTCTTCATCTTTCTTTAACAATTTTCAATGGATCACTGTTATTTTACAAACACTGACAAGTATTTTTATTTATATCTGCATACATTCAGAGAATGTAGTATTGGGTTAAGTGTATTGACAATGATGGAGATTGTTGAAAAAAATGTATTTCATATCTTTAGGATACAGAATACTTATGTATTCACCTAGTTTTATGCTAAACCAAGCACAAGTCTTGAATATGTCTATTTTAACCATCAGTCATTTTAGGACAAAAACTATATTTATCTTCTGAAAAATTGGAAACTCAAAACTGATATCTTTCTTGTGAATTCATTTGAAAGAATTTGTGATCAGGAGATTCTCTGAAGTAACAGTTGTTATTTTTATCTAACTTTAGAAGTCTGGTAGATCAGGTACAGTACCATCAAATAATTAAAATTCTGAAAGTTTTTCATATTGTTCTTTTTGTATCTGGAAGAGTTTACCTTGGTGCACAAAAATCAGAACAAGACATTTAATTTCTGTTGCAAGAGGAGTTTTATTTACAGGAGTTTTTATTTTTGTTGTCTGTGCTATGTTGACATTATTAGGACAAATACTTAATGACATGACATGATTTGTCACATGAATTAATTGAAAAAAAGGATTTAAGAAATAAAACATATTTATCATTAGGTTGATTCTATTTTCATCAGATTGACTTGCATCATATAGTGTAAAAATTTACTATGCCAAGAATTGTGTGCAGGGTTTTTTTTTATCTCTTCAGTGGTTATGAGTGTTCAGTTGGAGAGAATACAATCTTAAAAGAAAGTATAACTATGACAACAGCCATTTCTTTTTATTTCAAAACAAAATAAATATCTCATGTAATTTATCTCCATTTAAAACTAGAATTTGAGAGATGTTGCAGTTACTTTTTAAGAAAAGCAAGTAAAATATTAGGCTTACCATATTTGAAATAGACACCAAATTTTTATTTTTATACAATGTGTATTACATCTATATACCAGCACATTTTCTTAAGATTTCTGGAATGTGCAGGCGGATAATATTTTATTTGAATACTGGAAAAATAAAATAAAAAAATAAGCCGATATGTCTTATCAGTTGAATTTTTAAAAAAAAACTAGTTTTGATGAATACTTTCTGCCAAAATATACCTTATTTAAATATATATGTTTTTTCCATTTCTTAAATTCATAAAACTGGACAAATTCTCAGGACACTTAAAAATGTTATTAATTTTATTATTTACAACTTCTCTGATAATTAATGATTGTCTTACTTTATTGGCAGATTTTGATGAAGACAAAGAGCTTGGTCGAAATGATTTGCATAAAACATTGAGATGTTTGAGTCGGAATGAACTGACTGAGGAGGAAATGTCTTTTGTTGTGAATAAAGTAAGATTTGAGTTTTTTTATTACAGCGGTTGCATCATTGATCTATAATATAAAATAAGACAATTACATGAATACACACTAGCATATACATAGATAAATAAATAAATGTGTATAGATAGATAGATAGATAGATAGATAGATAGATAGATAGATAGATAGATAGATAGATGTGTTTGTAGGATGTATAATTGTATCTGTAACAAAAGTGGAGATGATGAGACAAAGTGTAAAAGCTATAAATGGTGAGGACACAATTTAAATTCCCTTATCAGGTCCAACAACAAGAAACCAAATAGTGTTTTTTTTTATATATATAAAAACTGAACCCAACAAATGTTGTCATTTATAGGTTTTACACTTTATATGATACATTGGGAGTAAATTTCATGAAATGTATTGATATGGTTTCAGAAGCAAAAGATGCCTGGTTCATGTGCATCTCATTCATTGTCCATCTTGTTCTCAATGGTGAACTTCAACATGTCGATATTATTTAATTTCCATCTCAACATCATCCCAGGCTACATTCTGGATAAGGTGAGTCCTTCTGGATTACATACAGCATCCCTTTTGGGCACACCTTCAATTCAGGGATTGACTGCTTACCTAGCACAATGATGGCAACATCCATGAAACCACAAGGAACATTACTGACAATGCAATGTTGGTATGCATCAGCATAGGTATGACCATATGGTGCATGCATATAATCAACCATTGTTTCTACTATTCATCTTTTGGTTCTGCACTGATCCTCAACATGTTTGAGCTTATTCAGCAAGCACAGCTCAGATCACATGGTTCTCTTAGGTTTTGTTGGACTGCCTTCTGCTCAGCACTTAGTACTTGTACCCAATGTCCTTGTGCACCACACATCTGATAGTGGAATCTGCCACCTTCAAGACAATGGCTGTTTCCATGTCTGTACAGTTTGTTACTAGCGTTACAAGCTCATATATAAACACTTTCAATGGTGCTGAAAGAGAAATGAGAATATTATCATTTACTACAATGACTTCTCTTCCATTTGTCTCAAGTGTATTCTCAAATACTTAGCTTACCTTTTAAACACAAATCTTTCTTTATCAGATGTGTGCAAATATTTCCAGTGCATTTTATTTAAAAAAATATATTGTTTTCAGCTTCTACTTTCTTCTAAAAACCGTTACCAGTATACCGATTGAGATGCATTTCATGACTTTATTTTTGACATCGCTTGGAGTGATATTCTTAACCTTCCTATTGAAAAATTAACCACAGACATTTCTTCTTAATGCTTTTGTACCTTCTTGGAAATGCCAGGTGAAACCACAATCTTTTCAATGGATTCACACTGGCTTGTTCAACTACTATTGTTCACAGCAATCAATTTTCCTACATCTCTACACTGGATTCCCATGAAGCATGTGGACTTGATATCCCTGTAATAGTCCTTAAGAAATGTGCTCCTGTACTAGCTCTTGATCTCTCTAAACTTTACAATGAATTCCTGGCTGCTTCTTGCTTTCCAGCTTGTTGGAAATCCTCTTCTGTTGTTCCAGTCTTTAAAAACTCAAGTGAACCATCTGATCATTCCAACTATTAGCCTTCTACCTACTAGAGGCCATCATCAACTATGAATTGGTCAAGCATCTCACATTGCAGGGTCTTCTTTCAGATAAGCAATATAACTTTCGCTTCCCTTTGTCAACTTCTGATGTTTTATTGATTATTACTGAAAGAGTCTATCAAGCTTTAGATAGGGCTAGTGAAACTCAAGCCATTGCTTTGGACAGCTCAAGAGTAAGTTGAAAGGTTATAGTATTTCTGTACAAATTTTTGAACTGATTCAGTTTTTCTTGTCAAATTGTGAAATGAAAGTTGTCCTGAATGATCACTCAGCTAGATCTTTTCGTACAAATGCAGGTGTCCCCCAGGGCTCTATCCTTGAACCTACTTTGTTCTTATTTTTCATCACTGACCTTCCTGATGGCATCAGTTCTCAACTTGGTATCTATGCTGATGACACAACTTTTCTCATTAGAATCCATCTGGCATGCTTATTCATTTGTCCATGTATTGAATACTGTCTCCATATCTGGTCTGGTGCTCCTGCTGTACATTCTTGACAAAATCCAAAGAGGGGGCTGTAATGTAATTGATCCTAGCCAGACGACTTCAGTCACTTTCTCTTTGGCCTGACATGGCTTTCCTCTGTCTTTTCTACAAATATTTTCATGATCTGATGAGCTTTTTTCCCTTGTGCCCCAATTACATGAATTTAAGCATGAAACCTAGTTGCCAATCTAAATTGGCAACTAGGTTTCACCATTTTACTGTTGAATTAGCTGCATGCAACCACCACTTCTACTCTAACAGTTTTTTCTCGTACTTCTCACCCGTCAAACTCCCTTCAGATTTCTTGCTTCCCTGATAACTCAAAAAATTTAAATGCAAAAACTATTTACATATAATTATATATATGCACATAAAGCATATTTACATATATGCATATATACCAACATGAATATGTTTATAAATATACACATTCACTGACAGAAAATAAAATTTATACGCCATGAAAATGTATTTCAATTCATTCAAGTTTAACTGCATCATTAATTTACCGGGGTTATATAAATGATGTAATTTTCCCATGATGCAAGTTATAAAGGAACCGGAAAGAGTTTCTGCTCACATATGCGATTTTATGACCCCACTTCCGGGAAGGACAGAATCTTTTTCTCTCCACTTTCCAACGATATCGTTAGGACGTGTTTTCAGAAGTCCTACTCATGAAGTAGAGATTTGGCCATCACAACTCAGTGCAATGCTGCCTTCAGCTCGACCATATTTACCCGATCTTATCCTTAATTTCCATAAATTATTTGTGTATCAGAAAGGAAAACTGACATACTCAAACAAGAGACATTTAACTTTGTTAAAACAGTCAACATAAACATAATAAACGTCCGTAGCAGAAACAAGTTTATATGCTTCTTCTTTCTTTGTTTATATATTGAACACGCACATTCATCTAAAGAGAGACACAAAACCCACAATCTTGTTGACTTCCATAATGTAAAGGATTACATACACAGATCGATATGCGCACAGATCCCAAAATATATGAAATATGAACAGTACTCATATTTCGTATTAGTACAATAGTCTGGTAGATATCAATGTGCACCGGGAACAAATATTACCAATCTAAATCTGATATTTTTAGAAAGTTTAAGGTCTCCTCTTTTGAAAATTGAAAAGTTCTCATTTGGACCAACTGGGGAAATTTAATTATGGACGATAACATGACACAAACGAAAATTAAAATGCTCCAACTCCACTATCAAAAATAGCCAGCAGCACAATGTAAATGGCCTGATATAATTCAAAATATATGTTCAAATAAATTAGCATCGTCTTTCCATTCATCTTCTTGTAGAGCCAGACTAGTGCGGTCGCAATCGGTACCCCTACAATCACTGCATGTTACGCACGTAAGAACATATTTTGGGCAAGAGCAGATGTTTGTGTCGCAAGGACTCTTAGACGCACAAAATTCAGTAGTTACTCAGGAGCAGGATCTAGATCGGTAAGAATAGTGGCTAAAATACTGTTTCTCATTTCCTAACTCAGCTACAAGGATCAAGTTGGCAATGACCTAAAGTCTTCCAAATCATAGTTTTAAGATGGACGCGGAGACTGTGGAACAAAGCTGACCGTTCAATTTTTTAGACTGTAACGTCTTCGTCGATGTTACGGCATACTTCATATACTTGATGTACCTGAGTTAGTCCAATATATATTCCCTGTTTTTTTTCTCCATACATCTTGACAACAATTTGCAACGCCGCAGATGCAACTTGGACAGGAGACGCAGTTGCATCAGCTAAGTAGCTAATTCCTTTAATTTATGAATAAGTATGCTTATTCCACATTTTCTATGTCCAAATACAGCTGGCGTTGAATGACATCCACCCCATGCTTGAATGTCTGGCAAGTTTTGAAAAGCGTAAGAGTTTGTCTTTTCTGCGATTTCAAGGATGCTAAGCAGCTTCTTGATCTTTCCCCATGACTTCTTGCTCTCGGAGTGCATATAGATTTCAGTTTTACCAGGGGAAAAGTGAAAAATAAAAGAACAAGCATGTCTGTGTCATCCGCTATTACAGTCACTAAATTTCCTTCAGTAGCTACTCTGAACGTTTCAGAAACAATGTCCGTATCTGCCTCTCCCTCACTTTGACCACTCGATGATCGTCTGCTTCCAAGAAACGACATAACATTTTGACAAACTGATTTTGTTCTCCTTTGAGAGGAAGAGGACTTGAACAGCAATTTGCAATCCATTTTCGAATTCTATGTTAGTAGAATTCCAACCTGCTCTTCGCTGATTTTCATGGTCTTTTATGAACAGGCCTGCATTGTAACCACCAAAAATGATGTTTGATGTCCTGTACTTTGCTTTCACGTAGCTCAAGTAATTTGCAAACACGTCGCTGTATGTCACCCGACGCAACCACTTCACTCGGTGGAGAGTTGTCAGTTGGTGGCTAAGATTCAGGTACGTCAGTGGTCAGTTGTCTTTCTCATTTGGAAATTCTTAAAAATTGTAGTTTGACATGAAGTGTGTTTGAAGTTGAAAAAGGAAGAAACATCTTCGCATCTTTCCAGCAGAACAGAGCAACCTGAACACATTTTTCTAGCTCAACAAGCGTACGCACTTGAGAACCTCTTTTTAGTGAGCTCTCTGAAACGTTCACGTTGTCAAGCTTCTTTTGGATCAATCTTATCGACGATATCACGATTGATTCCAACACCATCGAATGTTGTCAAACCAGATGATACTGATCGTAGCTCTGGCTGGCTTGGGTCAAAAGAATTGTACTGATAGATCCAATTGAAAACTCTGGTCATATCAACAAAGTATCTCTTCTGACGTGCGCTAGTCAGATCTACGTGCTGCTCACTGGTTCTGTGGAAAAGACCAGTGAATGTTGTCATGGCATCGTGCACTTGGGCGCAGGTATGCATGCTATACACCCAAATCAATCTCAATCGTCCCCTAGTTAGTTCACGGCTGCTGTTTATGGATCTTATTATCACTTGTTCAATAATGAGGTAAGTTGACAAGCCGGCCCAGTAACGGTCACAGCGTAGCACAGAATGAAATCGGTACTCTGAGAACTGTTGATGCAGCCAAGGTTGCTTTTCAGGTAATTCTAGCATTCATTGTATGAACAATCGTGCACTCTTTGCATAGCTGAAATGCGTGGTTGCAAACTCCGCTTCTACGCCAAAAGTAATCTCTCCCTCATCTGCCTCTGCTACATTAGCTGTGTCCGATAACTGAGAAGTCAATTGGTTAGCATCTGCTGGAAGCACAGCATCGATAAGTTTGCTCATCGAGACTGTATGTACAAAGAAGTGTGCTCATAAATCTCTCGAGACAGCCGTTCCGGAAAGAATGTGTTACACCAAACTTCCCGTGTAGATGATAGTCAGTAACTCGGACAACGAACACGATTCATAAGACTACCGACGCTTCCAAAGAAGCTCATGATGGTGCGAAAGCCTCCCAAACTAAACTACTCAAGTAGCTAAGAACCATGTTTCATCTTATAACACATTATTTTGCAAAGAAAGTGGTGCTCAGAAAAACTGTCATAAAACAAATCCCCCAAGGTGGATGAGAGAGGAGTTTTTTATTTTCCTGCAGGATATAATATTCCGCTTCCAATGACACAAAACATGTCTTGATAATATTTTTTCCGGGGACACCTTATATTCACTCTAAATCAACCAGACTACAATCCCTGGCAAAAATTATGAAACTCGCTACTCCAACAGGTTTGCCACTCCAGTCATCCTCTCCAGCAGCAACAATATGCAATAAACTGTCCTTTTCAGGACAACGCTCTCCAGCGACTACCAAAACTGTCTCTCTCAGGACAACGCTATTCTCATATAAGCGTGAAGAGTTATCTTTTATTATTTTTTTTTCTTCATTTTGTTTGTTGCTGTCTTCCATCATTCAATATATTTTTCGGGCCAATATGCCACCCGCAACAAATCTATTAACTGCCATTCTGGAAAGTTTGATACACTGTTATAAAGAATATTGCTTTCAATTTGTGAAATCCATGACTGTTGGAGTGGCAGGAGCTGGAGGCCTACTGGAGATGGTTGGAGCAACGGCCGATGGAAAGCTGGAGACGGTGATGCCTCGATGGCTGGGACTACTGCTGATGGTTGGAGCCGTGGTGCTGGTTATCGGCTGCTGGTTCTGGAACTGATCATCGTCATCTTGTTCGCATAACACTTGTTATATTTACCCTAGTCTCCACACTGAGACGGGGTGTAATACAAGGTCGAGTTTATTATGAGGAACCCGAGCGTGTACATTCGTTCCAGGCACATACATTCCACAAGTTCATCGTCGGTTGCGATAGTATCCGTGGCGATCACTTATCCCCCTCTGTAGAGCGATGAGAGGGTGCAACCTCAGGTAGCTGTTCCCCAGGGCCGGGTAATATTTTCCTCAGCAGTGACTCTTTCCACAGACAGAAGTCACGACTGCGTCATACTCTGCCCTAAGACAAAGACACAACTGAGAAATGATATGCATCCCTCGGCAGGGTCGCGGAACGCTTGTTTTTTGTTTTAAAAATCAATAACAAAACTGATTTAGTTGTTGAAACATTCAACTTTTCTTGAAAATGTTTCTTTGATCACTACAATCTCGAACTCTTCAAATCAAGGGTCAACCATTATCTATCCTACATATCTTCATAATGTGACACTATTTAGCTATGGTAATTGGCTAATTAACCATAGAATTTAAAAACGGGAAATACGTAAGGCGAGAGAGAGCTATATCGAAAGATAGACTGAGCGACATTAAAAAAAAAAGAAGAATTTATTTTATTTACAAAAGGAAGATACTTTTCGCAAAAGACAGAAAATCCGTAAGAAAAAGCGGGACTGTGATTCTGTCAAAATTAATTAATGTCACGATAAGGGGTGACTCGCCAATATAAACAGAATTCAGATAGAAAAACAAAGCCGGCCGACGCATGCGGCCGTGGAGAAAATTTGGCTTTGGACCCCCTGGAGATATCATTTAATTTTGGTTCTTGGGTCCAGCGAAGAGACCCATCTGGTATATGTACGAATCTTGACATGAAAAAGAGAGTCGAAAAGGGGATCATTATTATTGCTTATTCAAACTGTTGACGTCAGACATAGCGTCTCGAAAATGAGCATCTGGTGATAAGAGAATTTTAAGGCATGAGAAAAATAAAAGAATTTAATTATCAGGAAAACACGACCACCCAGTTAAAAGTTGGCTAAGTGGATTTGGGTGTCCCCAAAATTACGATGTGATAAAGAATTATTCGGCAATCTGGGATTTGTAAATGGTTTGGCCAAAGAAAAGGAAAAAGAAAAAAAGGATTTTGTAAACATGAGGGCCAGTCTAGCCACACCCACACTTCCGAGAGATCATTGGCCAATTGGTAGCATGGGTGATAGGCGGACGTGAATGTATGAGGAAGACGGAGAAGCTGTTAACACCCACTGAGGGGATTGGTATGAGATACCAATGTAAGCGGAAGAGTCTAGGAGGATAACTCTCCCCCGACCTTCCATCACGGACGAGGGAGAAACCCCCGAAATGGGAAATGATTAATCTTCCAAAAAGGGGAAGTAATTAATTTTCCTGGCCTAAGAACAAAGAGAATTCATGTTGGGAATTGGGAATTGTCAAAGAACCCAAACCACGTCAGGCCCCACCCCGGAGTTGGTCGGTGTCCATATAAACAAACGTCTCGAGGCAGCTGATCAGAGTTTTTCGGCAGGGTTCCAGGGAGTTCGGAGTTCCAGACAGTTCGAGTTTGGAGTTAATTCGAGAGTATTGCCTCACAGAAGCTGACCGAAAGATTTCCACGTCCTTCTCAACTTCTTCCTACCAAAAGCAAGTTTTTTTTTTTATTCACGAACGACTTAAGATACCATAACTCGCTTAAGAAACGCAAAAAAGTGTCATGAATCCATAGAAACGGACCGGGAGAGAAACACTCCTGTATTCAACAGATAGATAAAGATAATTGTTATTTCTCAACATATTTGAACCTTGTGAGTTTGTTTTATTATTTTCTGTTACTTACGCTTGTGCGGTATCACTTTTACCCCGGATTCAGCTTACACTACGGCCCGACGACTGATTGATTTCGTCTACCTAAGATCAAAATCACAACGTGGGTAGGTTAGACTTGAGATCAAAGTAGTTACTTCGGTAACCAGACGTTGGAAGTGAGCTGGGAACGACAAGTTGGTATCGAACCGGGAACGACCAGATCGACCGGGACACAGGCTGGTAGCAGCGACAACGAGTCAACCCCAAACGTTGGTGAAAGAAACCTTACAGCTTCCCGCCGCAACTGGGAGTTGACCACGGGCCGATGACGCAGTGTCATATATTGACGTCGCGATAAGTGGACGTCACATATTGGCGCTGGCGCTGCGACCGCGATCACCGGTGGGTGTCACAATGAAATGCAATGCTTTCGCCCTCTCTATACACCCTTACAACATCCCCATTCAATAACTCTTTACATTGAGTGGCACTTTTGCATTTTGTTGGATGAACAATAGTAAAGAAAATCAAAAGATACAGATTTATCTTGTTTCTTGCATATTTGATGATTTAAATTTATGTCTCTGAAAATGGGTAAAAAACTACGGTATCTTTTGCCTCTTTTTAGGTGCTGGAAGAAGGTGATTTGGATGACAAAGGAAGCTTATCCTATATGGAATTTGAACACATTATTTCTCGTGATCCAGACTTTCTCAGGTAGCAAAAACATTTCTAATTTCAAAAAATATTTAGACTAAAATTAACATTTTTCAATACATTATGAATAATTGGGCATTAATGTCAATGCTGCAATAAAAAGGGTATGTTTTATGCTTCTTTCATCTCTCTTCTTCTCTACTGAATGTTGTTTTTTGGGATTTCTAAGTGGAGTTACTGACGAAATTAATGACAACTCTAACTAAAATTTAAAGCCAGTGAAGTGTTAAATGTGCGAATGTGATCATGAGAAAATGACAGTTATCATAATGAAACAAAATATTACTCATCAAATAAGTCAATTGTTTTAGATTTCTGCAAACGAGAGTGTAATTGTCGCGAGCTTAAATCATCTTAGAATGTTACTCACCTAAAAGCTTGTTCTTAGAGAGAATATTGTATTTCTTATAGTCAAAAATTTAAGAAAGAAAAATGGCATCATCAGATATTTATATAGAGATAAAAATATACTAGTTACATACTATGTTTGTCTTCTTATTTATTATTATTGAAACTGAATTTAGTTATTGCAATTGAAATGATGTATCTGTGTTATACCATGGAGAAAATGCTGCAAAATAGTGTTTGCTAACAAGAATATGACTCAATGACTGTTGTGAGGTGGCTACAGTTCACTCTTCAAGGATTTTTTTAATCTTTTTGCCCATGAAAATTAGTAAACGCACTAACATACAACGTGATACTGAGTGTGAGAGAATAAAAAAAGAGAAACATTATTAAGGAGCGAGAACACTAGAAAAGTAATCAAGAAGACAATATATAACAACTGACATTGCATTTAAATTTTTAAAGATCAAAGTTGTCTGGAAAGCATGAATCCGGAAGTAAGTTCCATGAACGCGAAGTGCGAGAAAAGAAGCTGTTAGCATATAACTTACGACTATAAGTCCATTTCAATTGTAAAATGATGAGAACTTTTTGCCAATCTAGTACTGCGCTTAAATTTATAAAATCTAGGTACCATAGCGAAAGTTCATCCGAACAATTATCACATCAATATTTATAGAAATGCCACAGGGAAGCTACATTACGCCGATGGCTGAAGCAGGGACACCAAGTCAGAATCAATAATATTGTTGATTTTTCTTTGGATTTTATCAAAAATCTCTAAATATAGAGCAGGAGCACCGGATCATATATGGCAGCAATATTCAAAGCATGATAGATAAATAAATATATAAGATAGATTCTGGAGATAAAATGTGTCTAGCACGACACAGTGAAATATCCTTCTTAGCAGCAAACCTGGCAATGGTTTCAATATGTCAGCCGAGAAGGCACAACGAGTCACTGGCCTGTAGGTTAGCATCAGCCATGCTTATCGGAGGCAGAAAGTATCTATCAGATGATTAAAAGCAGACAGCAGAATGTAGATCTTTTTTTTTTTCGATCAGCTGACAAATTGACCACATCGAACTAATCAGACTTACTATCGAGTTACTAGTTGTATCATCAGCACCAATATCAAGTTGAGAAATGATACGATCAGCAAGGTCATTGATGAAAATTAACAACAAATAGGTCCAAGGATATAGCCCTGGACGACATCTGCAGAAAGATCTAGAAGATTAGCCGTTCAGGAAAACTTTCACTTCGTGAATTGATATGAAAAACTAAATCAATTAAAAAATTCATACTTTCAACTTTTAAAGAAAACCGCTATGCCAAAGCCTGTCGAATGTTTATGAGATATCCAAAGCAAGAGCCCGAGCTTCACCATTCTTATCTAAAGCTTGAGAGACACTTTCAGCAATAATCGTTAATACATCAGCAGTTGATCAAGAGAAATAAAAGCCATATTCCTTGCCTGAAACAAGACCCTACAAAGTTGATGATGGCCTCTAATAGTTTGCCAAAAAGTGGTAGAAGACTAATAGACCGATAGATAGAAGTGTGAGACTGGAACAGCAGAAGAGGATTTCCAGCAAGCAAAATATCGAGAGTCAACAAAGCGTTTATTATACAGTTTAGAGAAAACAGGAGCCAATTCGGGAGCACATTGCTTAAGGACTATTACAGGGATCCCATCAGGTTCATATGCTTTGTGAAGATCCAGATTAAAGATGATAGCAGAAATGATGGAAAAGTTAAATGCATATCACTAAACAGAGGCATAGTTCTAAGGACGAAGATACTCCAAATGAGTCAAGAGTAGAGCCTGAAGAGAATTTACAGGCAAAATATTCAGCTTTATCAGCAGATATTAACACTTGAATGAAGAAAGGAGGAATGGAGTATGTACTGTTATTTAATACACTATTACAGAACCGCCAGTAGTAAGGAGAGTCAAATTTGTTAGTGGCTATATGGTGCCTGATTAATCTGAGATATAACTTCCTGGAAGTTCTTTTTTCTCGGATATATTTTACTTCGTTTTATATGGGCTTCAGATATAACAGGCTAGGTGATTTTGGTAAGACCTGTTTAAATTTATTTATCATCCATGTGAAGAAATGAAAATATGCCATTTGCAATAAAATTTTCATAAGATAGTTCATTTTCATTTAATTTTAATGAATGCCGAGCAGAATGGTTGGCCCTCAAGCATATTTATATCACATTTATATCACATTTCACTACAGTAATAGGAATATTTTTGAAGCATGTGAATGGGCAGTCTGCGATACTTTAAGTAAAAGGGTTGACTATTTTCTTTTAATTGAATGGTCGATTTGTATCCATCTCCACGTCATTATTTTCAAATTTTGCACTTTTAATTAATTTGCTCTTATCCACATCTATTCACAAGAGTCCATGATTTTTTCACATTTCACTACAGTAAAAGGAATATTTTTGAAGCGTGTGACGGTCTCAAATGTTTTCAAAAAACCTAATGTTTTGATGAACTTAATGAATTTAAGCCAACTTTTCTTTAATTTTTGTTTGCCCATTCGTTCCCAGAAATTTATGGGGGTTAAGGTGGCATCATTCCCAGTCTCTGTTTACATAGCAAAAGTTATGCCATTCAATTTTTTTTCTCTGCTTCTTTCCTCTTCATTTCATTGTATCGTAAGTACAGCTGTATTTTCTTGAGGAAGGTTTACATTTTCTACCCATTCTATTTTCCTTTCATGCTTTCACACTGACTGGAAATGGTTTTTCTTTTCACAATTCCAACATACGTGTCCTAAAGCTGGACATTTTTTTGTCTTGTTCATGCTTTTTATCACAGTATTTGCATCGCACAAGGTAAGTCAATATGCTGCATGCATTATTCTTGCATGTATTGAATTTTTCAATTTTCAATCTACTCTAATTGTGGCAAAAGCTCTATAGATGAATCCAAGGACATTTTAGTCATTTGTAACCGTTCCAAATTTTGTGTTTGGAAAAAGCATCACACCTACCTTCAATTAATCTCAACCGTATCAATTCTTCTTCGATGGTCATTTCTCCAGTGCCAAGTTTTTCAAACTCACAGAGTCTGGAAGCAAAATAGGGCAAGTCCATTTTGCCTATGTCACAACACAACTTTTGAAAGTAGTTTTAATTTTTTAGATTGTAATGTGCACAGATATTGTTTTGATATTTTCAATCTCCACTTTATTTCAAAATGGCTGCTTTATTTTGGAAAAGAAATGATGCATTGGACTTGACTAAATTATTCTTTTTCTTCTATTTACAGTATGTTTCATATCCGAATTTGAAGAAGAAACAGAAATTGACAAGAAATTCAAAGTGATGAAGAAACTCCAGAAACATATATAGAAAAAGCTGAAAATTAAGGATTGATATACAACTAACAATTAATGAAAGTTCATCTTTGTTGTAAAATTTTGTCAATTTTCCATTCCTTTTATAAGTAACTGGCTAAAGCACTTATTATGTGACCAATTCAGTACAGCAGATCATTTGAGTAAATGTTTTGACTGCATGTCCTCTGTTGAATCTGATTTGATTTAGATTCTAATATTGCCACTGGTCTCCATTCTGTATTACTCACCTGTTTGGTTGTTGGGGCGCACCCACCTTCTAACTAGTAATGGACTGGTCCCTCTTATATAAGTCAGCTCTGGAGAGAGTGAGGGGAGCGTCAGAGAGAGAGTCAGCGTGAGCAGTCCAGATAAGCTTACCCGGTACATACCGTTGGACTATAGACTTTGGATATTGTTTCGTACTCACCAACCTTCGTTCTACTAATCACTCTATTGTTAACTGCTTTTATGAATATACCAGTATTTTCCTCTACAACTGTGTTTGTCTTGATTCATACACCGACACGCGGGAAACTCACAACATCTCAACATTGGTCATTTGATCCAGTCAATTCCACTTGCTACATTTTATGATTTTGCTCTTCCACAACTTCCTCAACTTTCATGTCTTTTGTTTTGAAACCATAAATTGCTTCCAAACAATGAGTGAATACAAAACCAGTAAATGTTAAAAATTATATTAGAGAGACTTGTTATTAAACATTGTGAAAAAGATAGTTTTTTTCAAGCTTGTATAAAAATCCTTTGTCTAAAGAACCAATTTTATGCTTTTAGAATCAACAAAGTTTTAATGTATATTACAAACATTCAGATAAAAATTGACAATATGGCTTTCAGAGCATCATGTTTATTTTTAAATTAAAGATTCCAAAGTTTCAGTTGATAAATTTATATTTTTTAAGTACAAGTTAAAGTAATGCAAGTTGAATGTAGATAAAAGACATTCCCTATTAAAAGTCTAATAAATAAGGAACTTAAACTTAAAAAAAGGCTGAATATTAAAATTTGATGAAACATATTTATTTTGTAAGTATTGTATTAAATTTCTGAATTAGTCTAAGGGTAAAGGATTTATATCAATCTTTATAAGGCTAAAACAGTTTTGGTAAGTTCAAAGTATCTTCAAACAATTGATAAGTAAGGGATGTTTTGAAGGTAATGCATCCTATTTATTTCCACTGAATCTACAATAGACATAGGGAGTGTAATGACACAATTAGATAAGGCAGATTTGTAATTATAAAACTCTTTTCCCAGAATTACTATCATTAGCCATGTATTTTCATCAGCAGTGAATAATACATGTCAGCAAATTTATCTCAAAGATCAATATTAGTCATTTTCACCATCACTGAGTTTTATACTTGTGGCCTTGTTCCAAAGTAGGTTATGTTTAGTAAATCATAACAATAGCCTATATGCATTCTAAAAATGGCTTGTCCTACTCATGTTAGTACTTTTGAAACTCATTACCCTCCATCTAACTATGTTTATATCCCCTGTTTAGTTTCCATAAGCTTTCAGTGAGTGTAAACAAATATTAATAGGTGAATTTTTTTTTTTACAAAGAGGAATTCAGTGACACGGGTCTGTTTCATATGCACTTAAATGTCAAATGAATTAAGGCAAACGAATGGATGATTTATTGGTGAGAATGTTCAATTTCTATTGCCATAATACCAATACCCACCTCTGACATTATAGACCAACATAATAAAATAGGAACACTTATTTTAGATCAACCCAATTAGATGTGATTATAAGCAATAACAAAAGAAAATATTTAACAGAATACAAGTATTTTATGGTATGAAAAAATGCTTTTAAAATTTAATGTTTTTGTTTGCATATCATGGAACCGAGCTGGTCGGCCTGCTGCTGATGGTTGAAGCTGGTCGGCCTGCTGCTGATGGTAATTGAAGTGGCTCTGGCTGCTTCGTGTGGTCAGCGAAGGTGAGAGCTCGTCGCTCAACCCCGAGGCCAACTGATTTGGTGGAAAATCGGCTGGGTTTATATATAGGCTGTGGTCGGCAACATAGCCGGTTAGCGATATCTTTGTGGTGACGACTGAAAATTACCTTCTACTTTTTGGCTGTACACATGGGTTCCATTCGGACACCGTGTGTATATAAAGTAGTTTCTGGTAATTGTTTTTGGTTAGGAAAGTTCGTATATGTAAATGTTTCGTTTGTTTTGAGTTTGTGTGAGTCGTTGACTGAAAAACGCTGAGTCACCGGAAGTTAACGGCATTCGTTATGTTTTCCGCGGTGACGCTTTTTGATGTTTGAGTAGCCGGCAGTAACTTCCGGCCGAGTGCGATGAGCGGATTGTCGCAGGCAATATTTAGGTCATATTGGAAATGTAAATAATTTGGTGTATTTTGGAAATGGACAAAAGAATTGTTTGAGGTCAGGATTTGGTACATCGACAACCAGAAGAAATTGCTGATTTGGAATAAAATTTGTTGACGGGAAGATTATTGTAGGGAAAAGAAAGGAATTCTAAAAACAGTGAATTCTTTGCCGAGTTAAAAAAAAAACAAATTTCAAAACAAAGTAAATAAAGGATTGTTATTAGTCCTCGAAGCTGGAATGTAAGCAATCTGGAAAAGTTGTTTTGTAAACATGACTGAGCAGAAAATTATTTAAAAGCCAAAATGTAAAACAATGGAATTTGAAATCGCTTGTTTTGGGGAATAAAATGTCATAGTTATTTGTTAAAAGAGAAAAGTCTGAAAACAAAATAGAATTCATTTTTACAAAAGGGATAAGAATTAATTTGTAAACAAATGTTTGTGACACGATCGATTGTCAAAGGAATGATATTGTTTTAAATAGCTGACCGATTTATCAAGGTCAGGTGTTGTCATTCCAAAGTTGAAGAAAAATTTTCTTAGAAAATGAATAATTAATTGATGAATATTAATGAATCTAGAGACGTGGTCGGAATGGAATGAAATACATATAAACCGTATGCTACTTGAAGCAGAGAGTTGGAGCAGACGCAGTTCGAGCGAGAAGCGATCAGAGGGTGCTCGAAATCGGCGATGGGCCAGGAGACGCTGGAAGACACCGGAAGAATCCACGTGACCTGCTGCTGGAGATAATTGCAGACAAGAGAATTGCTGCAGAAGAGGATTGCAGACAGGAGAATTGCTGTTGGAGAGAATTGCAGGCAAAAGAATTCCTGCTAGAGAGAATTGCAGACAAGAGAATTGATGCTGGAGGGAATTGCAGACAAGGGAATTGCTGCTGGAGGGAATTGCAGACAAGGGAATTGCTGCCGGAGAGAATTGCAGACAAGAGAATTGATGACTGGAATTTCCGACTGACATAATTCCTCGTTGTAATGGCTAGACCGCTCCAAGATTAGAAACAGACGATTCATTATCACTAGATCCACGGGAAGGGCCAATTTTGTGTATCAACAATTATATAAAACCATTGAAAATTAACCCTGCGGCCTTCTTCATTATTTATTTTGATTTGTATTTTCACCAACGGAAGCATCCATGTCCTTTTTCATAGTACGATTCCATCAGCTAGATTCAGTGCTTAAAGTGCGGACGAAAATTCGATCTTCATTGCACTGTGATCAATCAAGCACAACGTGGGACAGAGCGGATGAAGAAACGAAGCGGTCAACAGATAACCATCAATTGACCGGCGCCAGTACTGACCAGCATGGGAATTACGTGGGATCGGGTCGAGTAAAATCTGGTGCAACTAATTACCTTGAGAAGTTGCATAATTAGTAAAGAGTAAAGTGAAGAATGGAAAAGGTTACAATCCTTAATACGCCTATTCTGCGAAGGCCTCAGAAGTTTGTTGGAAAACATTAGCATCATGAAGACCAAAGAGCTCAGCAACCAGGTCGGATAAAGCTGTGGAAAAGTATAAAGCAGAGTTAGTTTATAAAAATTATCCCATGTTTTGAACACCTTGTTTCAGTGAGCTTACGGTGGAAAGATAAGTTATATGAGATGGCCGCTGAAAAGTCAAAGCAACACAAAGACGACACGAGATGTGGTAAACTTAACAACTTATTCAAACTCATGCTGAATCCGTCTTGCTCCCATCATTCACTAGTGGGAAGTGCTTACAATCATCATTATTGATGTTATTATAACACACCTCACAGAGCCCTATTTAGTCCATCATCTGAAAATGCAAATAGTACACAAACGCAAACCTATGAAAATAAAGCTGTCTACTGTAGGGATATTATTATTATTATTGTGAATAAATAAAAAATAAAATAATAATAATAATAATAAATAAAATAAAACAATAACATAAAAGCTTTGTATAAAATAAAGATAATAAGAACAACAGAAACCGTTCCTGCTGGAAAACTGAAATTCTGTCAAAAGACAATCTACGAAGAAATATTTATTCATAAAATGCAATAGAAATTTAATCTTAAATTTAATAAATAACAATGAAAAAGATATTTTATTTTTATTAAAGCTGTTGTACCTCTTACATTTTCTGCACAAACCTGATGTTGACCGTTTAGAAACCTAAAGTAGACTTCATAAATACGTTTTCTGCACATCGGTTCCACGCATACATCCACTTTAACCAAAACAAAATTAATACTTATGACCAGTCAGAGCCACTCCCGCTCAAAAACCAAAATCTTCATTTCGAGCAGACTAAATCTCTCTCTCTCTCTCTCTCTATATATATATATATATATATATATATATATATAGAGAGAGAGAGAGAGAGAGAACCACCAAGTGTCCATTTCACAAATAGAAATTATCCATTTTTGTATAGGTGTAAATAAATTAATCATTTATTTACTGCTACTCAATTTCCTCTTGTTTGACTCTTGGATTTACATTTGTCGAGACGGAGAAGGAATTAACCTCCACAACACATTGTTTTGTATTCCAGGCTACCTATTTCCGCCTCCACGACAAA